TATTTTCAAAGGACTGGGATGTCTTCCAGGCATATTTCACATTGAAATAGAGACAGTGATTCAGCCAGGACGGCACCTGTGTAACCACTGCACCAAGGGCGAAGGAGAAGCAGCAACTCTAAAGTGCATGTAGAGAGAAGGTGCCAGCGCTGCAGGTTCTGCACCCCCAGCCGGGTGCTGACCTGGGGGCCAACCTCTACAGGAGCAAATGCTTCACTCACATAAGCCTGAGCGACCTCATCAAAGTTCGACAAACTGCTCATTACCAAGTGCCTATAACAAAAGACATGTTAACCCGACTTGGCAGAAGCAAAAATAGCCTCAGCGCTTGATGCCAAAGATAAATATTGGCGAATGCTATTGGACAAAGAAAGCAACCACCTCACTACATCTTGGACACCAGCAGGTAGCTGCAGATGGTGGAATATGCTGTTTTGGATCAAACCTGCAGTGGAAGAATACTTCTGCTGCCAACAAGATGCGCTAACAGGACTCACAGGGATCAGAGGTGTGGATGATGGCATTCTGCGGTAGAGCTGCAGAGACGCTGAAATGGAAACTGCCATAGATCACACTATTGTTTGTTTGCTATGAAGAACCAAGAAAATAAAGTCATAGTTAAATACTAATAATTGTCCTATCCACGGTAATAATATTGCAGCAGACCCGGGACACTTAAGGCATGTCAACATGCAGTTCAAGCGCAGGAGCTGTGAAGCGCAGGATAAATGTGCCACTTGGGGCTCGTGAGCACTTATGGGACTTGGGAGATGGGGTATGGATGGGCTCTATTCCCATGAGCCTGGAGCAAAGTCAGAAGGGACTTTCTACAGAAGCCCTCTTAAACTGCCCCATTCTGGCTTGGGTTATACGGAGGACACGCAAAACTACTGTGTGCCACCAAAATTAAACAACAGCTCATCTTGGGAGCTGTGTTGTTTCAAATACAAAATCCCCGTCTACTTTCAGGAAGGTTTTTTAATTTTACCTGGAAGTGAAGCACAGTCATACAAGGCCTTCAGTCACATTGGGTCTTCCCCCATCACAATTGTGAAAGCTATTAAAATTCCTACCTGTGGCTTTAAGAAGGTTCAAGAAGCAAACAAATCACATAGCAAGCCAGCCTTGAACTCTGAGGGTACTCTGTCTCTAATATCAGCCCCTATAACATTCAATGTCAAGATGCATCTCTATGGCATTGCCTATGGCTAGCAGTAGTGGATGGAGGAACAGAGGAGAAAGAAAAGATGTGTAGGAAGGATATAGCCCATCACACTGAAGACCTTACCCCACTGGTGTTCCGAGATGTAGTTACAGGTAAAACGTTTTCCTTGAGAAATGTGAGGCTCAGGAAGGCAAGCTGCACCAATCAGACTATGAAATTTCCAGTGTGGGGAAGATGGTGGTGCATGGGCTTCTCTATTGCTGATGCCAAAAATTTGTCAAGTTTTACAAACAGACAGATTGGATACATTACTATGTGCACTCTGCTGAAATTTGATTAGCCAAATGCCGAAAGTACACAAGTTTTTGAGTGATGGACTACAGTACCAAGGCATGAGCTGCCCTCACTCCCCACCTTCTCCTGCAACAAAAACATAGTTTTAGGTGCAGGTGTTAGGCACAATTCTCATATATGGACTTCAGAGGGATATACTGGCAAGCTAAATCTAAAAGCAAGTCTAGGGAGTGATGTTTAATTCTGCACTGGAATTGGGACATTGGTGACTCGCTAGGTGGCCAAAGGAAAGTCTTTTTACCCCCTAAGTCTTCATTTCCCTTTCTGGAGAAGAATGGCTGCAATATTTGATGATGTAAAATGTCCTACTTGCAACTGGGTATTATCATCATCTGAAATGAATGTGACAAACCAAATGCTGTGATAAACAGCTTCCTCATCCTCGAGTTGGGAGCACAAGGGTGGGATTGTGTGGAAACTGTGAGAACTCAGCACATGACCAGAATTGGGTATGGGTGACAGCAGGATAGGCGGGGGGAAGGAGAAAGCTTGAATGTTGCCCTATCTCCTTCTGCTTGAGCACCAGATAATAAGGTCAGCTGTGATTTTAGCCAACTCAAAGAGAAATTCCTAATTTCTTCCCATCCGGACTTTCATTTCCTAGATATTTCACATAGTACTACATGTTTTTTGGGGATCAAAAGTCTCATCAGGATGACTCCATTTCCATTTCTATGAGACTGTAATAGGGGTAAGGCTCAGGTAGCCAGGCTAAATTATCTGCATTTTTTGTTCATCTCAGGAAGTGTGCCAGCTGCTTACGTGACAGGGTGAGCTCTCTGAGGCCAGGCACACATGAGGCACCGTGCCAGTTGTCTGGGTGGCTCTGCTTTTCACAAGGGAGTGAGTCATTGACGTGGTTACTGCCGCTCCACCCCTGGTATTGGTTTTTAATATCTTACCCTGGCAGGAGGTCAGGAATTCAGGACCCAGATTTGGGTACAGGCTCCTGTTCCGTTTCCTTCCCTTTATGGCAGTAATGGATTTCCTGCGCTTCCCTCCCTTTCCTCTACTACTTCTTTATGGATGTAACCATTACGTAGCTTGGAGAAAATGGATTAGCAGGCAACGCTTGGCATTGCCACCGCTCTGCCACCCATTTGTCTGTTTGCAGAACCACAATCATTATGCAGAGGTTTTTAATTGCTGTATTTGTTTTAGCAATGTTGTGCAAGGTCATGGCATTTAGAAGCTATGGCAGGCTGGGGAGGTATTGTGCCTCCTGCTTACATTTCCCCATCTGCTGCAAATGACTGAGGGAGACTTCTGGGTGCTTCTTGCGACCTCTGGATGGAGGTGAGTCAGCATTCCCTTGAAGGCTTCATTGCAGCTGTTGGCATTTCCTCCTCCTGAACATAGCATGTGGCTGGAGGCACCTACACAGCCAGCCAAGCGGAGTTACAAATGGGTGCACCTCCCTGATATGAAGCAAGCGTTTTGGTGAAAGACATCCATGCCAGTGCCACCCACAGTGTGCAGTCAGCAGGGCAGGGAGTGATGGAGGGCCTCATTAAACAGGCTGGTACTTGCTGCTGGCAAGTGACACTGTGAGAGTGTCACTATGCTCTTCTTGGGCCACAAGCATGCTCTGCCCATTGCTCTGCAGGAAGACCCTGAGACAGGAACTGCTGTTAAAATGGATGCCTTAGAAAAGTGTATAGGAACAAAAGTGTTTTGGGTGTTGCTATTTCATTAGCACTGCTCATAAAGCTTTCTGAAAAGTGTGAACATTTCCTGCTTTTAGCTAGACTCTTAATTCACACCACACTAGGCTCCTACCAGTCTCTTCTCCCCTACCACCATCCTTTCCTAAACCTGCCTCTGTATTTTTCCCAGCCCCTCTTTCCGGATGGTGCCAAACCTCAGTGTCTTGCACTGACCCTCCAAATCAGGCTGTTGATGCCACACAGTGATGATATATCCCCACTATGCATGTGATAGTGGGTGTCCTACATCTACTGCTGTTGGGGAACACAAGTAGCTCCATGGCATGGAGGGGTGGGAGGTGATTATGGCTCCTCAGTCTCTCAGTCAGGAGATGCTTCAATGCATTCATCCTCTTCCTCCTCCAATACAGGTTGAGCCCATCCCTGGTGCTACTGCTTGTCCCCATTTAATGAACCTGGACTAAGGGATCTCCTTTCCTATGTGTGAGGCCCTGGTTTGTCACACATAAAGTCCATCTAAACAATTTTAGTTGTTGCTTCTTTGTTTTCAGTTTTGCATTGCATTGCCCAAATAATTTGATATACAGGAAGGGAGCAATAAATTTTGTAAGAGTGATACAATTTTTTCAGGAATCTGTGTATAAGCATCACACATCTCTGAAAGGCTGTTGTTACATATGTTGCTAATTCAATTATTTTTTTAAAACACCCAAATTTACATGGGAGAGTAGCTTTAGTTTAAAGAAATTGTATGTCTATTTACAGCCAAGGAAATAGATGTCTTTAGAAATCTAACAGTGTTATTTAAAACAGCTGGTTTAGTTTATAAAGCTGCTAGGAATAGAGAGAGCAGTGATTTTATACTTCAGAGTACTAGTAATCTGTTTGTCCTTGCCTAACTTCTTCTATGCCATGCCCCAGTTCACATTTGGAGCTATATTTTATCTCCAAGTTCCTATTATTTCTTACAGGTTAGCACAACATATGACCTATGACATTGCAGCCGTAAAGAAAGTAGGCACATGATTTTTCCTCCAGTTTTCATATCTCAGTGCTCTGGCCATTCAATTTAGTTTCCCAGGTGCTGACAGCCGGTAATGCTCTTAGCTGCTCTCCCCTGTTGGTAAGTTATGGATATTTCCTAACTGAAGTTTAATTGTATAACTTTACTTCACTCAAAATGCCAAAGGTCCTAGGAACCCATTCCTCCTGCAGGCTGATTATGGCACCGGAGATAATACTGTTTGCAGATGGTGAACCTTAATCCCCGACGAGTGTCTTCTAAGACAAACTGACATTTATGGTGTTCCTCATTATGACATGACTGTCCAGAGCTGGCCCAGAGGAGAGAAGACCCTATTTTTTTAGGTTACATCTTCTTCCATATATATAAAAACAAGCATTAAAAAAATGTCATTTGAGTTTATCATTCAGGCTCAAAGAGATGGTAGCAATAAGTGATATAAAGGAAGAGCTTCTGTGGATACCAAAGGAGCAGGAGCTCACAGGTGGGTATTGCACCAGTCCAGCACTGTGAAGCAGGATTCAGTCCTACACAGAGTGTCTCATACCTGCCACGTTGTCTGTGTTTCTCCCTCTTTTCCCCAGAATGACACCTCCCCATTCTTGGTGTTGGGCATACTGTGCAGTGCCAGGCTGTATCATCAGCTGGGCACTGGTCTGGTACTACCTTGGTGGCCTCAGTGCAGTAGTTAGGATGCTAAGGGTGACCTCAGGGCCCCTCCTGTGAACCCGTTGCCCCTCTTCCTTCAGCCTGCATCAGTGTTGTTTGCTCTGTCTGCTTTGCTTCCCAGGTGGGCAGTGTCACCAGTGCATCCCCTCAGGCGCCTCCTCTCTGAAAGGAACCTGGCCAAGGGACCCCAAGGTGCTGGACTCCACTGTGAGAAGGTACCTGGTCTGTGCACACAATCTGTAGGACCACAAAGAGGTCACATGGTGCATGCATCAGTGTTACTCGGCCCCAGCCTTCCTGACCCTAACTGGGAGTTAAGGACCAAAATACCTATTGAAACTGCCCTGAAGTTTGTCCATAGCTTTGCTCAAAGGGTGAAGTAAGACTTCATCCCTGGGGGTATAATGAGGTTAAACTGTGAGGGCAATAAACTGAGAGTAATGAGCAATAAAATAATGGTGAAATGTTCTGATGCTGTTGAAACAGAGAGGCTAGGGTGGGGAGGGCAGAACTGATTGATGTTCTCTTTGCTGAAAGGTGAACTCACTTTGCCCAATTCCATCACTATTGAATGCTCTTGCAGCTGTGGCAAGCTAGGCTCAGGTGGAGAGGGAGAGAACTGGAGAAAAAATGAATATGGCATCCCTTTGTTCTGCCTCCACTCTGTATATTCATACCTCTGTGTAGCTGGGAATATCTAACCTGTTTATGGCATTGTCAGCTTTCTCCCTAGGTTGCTTTCTTCCTAAGCTTTCCATAGGCTGCTTCTCCCTAGAAGACAATATAGAAAAGTTTGTTGTGGGAACCACTCTGTATTGGGTCTACTAGTTTCACCGTGAAAGAAAAAAACATTTGACAAAACTTGATTCCATTTAATAAATCCTCAACAAGTTGGCCGACATTCTCCTTCTTTATTGTTTTTGCTTTTCTCCCTCCACAAGTTTCTTCGGTCCCCTGTAGCTGCCAACTGGATGCTGCCTGTTCAGCAGCCAGTGGGGAAGGCTTGACCCAGTGGGAGAAGGTGTTACAATCCTTCTGGAGCAGCTGCTCTAGCTTTGCTGCTTGCCCAGAGGCAAAAGGCTTTCCCCTCCAGGGACATGAATGCTCCCGGGGGCTTTGCATGAGGCATGGGAAGCCTCATGCTTCCCATGGTGGAGAGGCAAAGGTTGTGTTGCATTTGAGAGTGTGAAGTCGTGATGCAGCAGAGAAGACCTCATGCACAGGGAGATCTGCATGTCTTGTGTGCCCTTTTTCAGACAGTCTGTGGGATTTCACGTTGCCAAATTGTGAACTAGTCTAACACAGATCCAATGAAGAGAAGTTAGGAAGAAGCAGACAAGGGTTTTTTTTGGTCCAGTTAGTACAGACAGCTGGGTACTAGTCACTGTTAACGTTTCTGTAGGAAGAAAACAGTTGGAAAAGATCCTTGTCTTTCCCAATGCATTCCCTTTCTGCTTCTTTCCCTACTGCAGTTTCCTGTCCCCTGCCACAGTTACGTTAAGGCAGCTATTTCTGGTGTTGTGGTCTAAAACAGAGCAGCAGGGTTTTTTTCTGGTTTTGCTAATACCAGACATTTCACTGATTTAGTTTAGAGGGTATCACCACACTTGGGAGTGATAAATGGGAAGGAGGTGGGAGAGTAACAAGTACCTGTGGGTGAGAAAAGGCAGAATCCTCCTTTGGCAGCTTTGCCATTAGATAATTGTGGTGTGGAACAGCACCTTCAGACATCCACTGAGAAACGCATCGGTATTTGGGCCCTGATTCCAAAAAGCATGCTGGAGCATGCTTCACTGCTGCTCTGTTGCTTCATTCTTAGTACATTGTCAAGCAAGCACATGTCCAAGGTACTCACTGACTAGTCATTGGGGAGAAAAGTAAAAATTGCTAGCTCTGTACTGATGAAACATACAGAAAATAGACAGTGCAATACTTTCAATAAAAATAAAATATACAGCCTGTGTATCCCTTCAGCAGGTATTGGAGTGGTGCAGTATTTTGCTGAATTGCCTGTAGTTTTGCTATGCACTCATCTCTAGTATTTGAGTCTTACACATATATTTAGGCTTCTTACTTCTGCTTAGGTGACAAACTTTTGGTCCTGCAAGAGATCCATGGGCCTGTTTCTGATTTATTCCAATGAGTATTTTCATTTTCTTGAGTGAGATTTCTCTTGATTTCTGCCTGTGAAGTGGAACTGAACTGTAGGTCTGGCTACACTGCAAAGATATACTGGAAGTTGCTGTAGAGACTACACAATGCTAACACACTTTTGCTGATCATCCTGATTGCCTAAAGGATTACCTGATTAAACCTATGATTTAAATGCTTCATGTCTTGACAGACAAGGTCACAGTTATGCAGCCTGAAGTGCCACCTAGAGTCTTACTTCATATATCTTTTATAACATTGTTCCTGGGACTGTGTTTGAAGGTCAAGAGCTGGATAGTGGGGGCAAAATTAGCAAGTGGTCCTGGGAGGTCTAAGAAATTACAGTAGTGAAGATTAAGTAACTGGGATGAGCAGCCCATCACTGCTGGAAAACCCCTAATTTCTGTTCCCTCTCCTTCACCTAATCTCTCCCTCACACACAGAGATGTGTGAAGGTAATGAGGTCAAATGGGAATCCCATGGAGCACAACCACTGTGGGGTCTGCTTTGGACAGCAGATGGGAGCCACAGTTGTGTTAGCCAGAGGTGGCTGCAAACGGGCCCTCAGGAACAGTTGGTGTCTCCAGGCTCCCCCAGTGCACCCACCAGCCCCCACAGAATGATCTGTGCCTCAGAGGAAAGTGAGCCAACTGAAGGGACATTTCAGTCCTCCTTATGGGAACATGTGCAGCTCAAGCTGTTCCATCCGTGGCGCCAGCTCCCTGCCAGGTCCCACTGGATGCAAACAGGAGATCTTCTCCCTCCCACCCCTGTGCAATACCATGATCAGTCCCTTTCCCTGCTTGGGGGGCTACACAGCAAGCTGAGGTGGGATTTCTTATCCTGACTTCTTTCTCTGCCAGTGTACGTCATTTCCCCCCTGCATGCTCCTGGAGGGCAGGCTTTTCCTTTCTCCCATGTCTCCTGAGATCATACATTAAATTGGAAAGACCTTTCTGACCTTCCACATACTCTGCCACTGAAAGTAAGCTCCCATGGTTCTTGGAAGGTAAACTGCCCCCCTTTTCAGGGTTTTCTGGACTAACTCTGTGTAGGAATGCCTGAAATCACAGAAGGAATGAAGATGTTCTGAGCTGTGTGAAAGAAACCAAGCCTATATGCACAGATCCTCGTGTTTCCCATATATAATATTCTGTAGCATTCTGAAACTGATTTTCTTTGTAGCTATATTGAGAATAAAAGCTTTTCCTTCACCTAACAGAATCAATTGGCCCATAGTGGGTCTTTATTCCCATTCAAATTAAGGGCTATTCCATACCAAAAATGCACTAATGTAACTAAATTGATTTCTAACTTGATTTTAGTTAAATGGGTGTAGTTCCCTACGGGGATACACTTAAATCAGTCGAAGAGCGGGTAAATTATGCATCTTTGTGTATTTCTTCCTGATATATCTTAATTAGGTGTAAAGGGATCTCACAGTAACTGAGGTTCCGACCACAGATAAAAACCCGTACACAGAAACCCCCATCTTCGGATTCCTGGGGATGCTTAGCAACTCTCCTAAAGTGCTGAATGCTCTTAACTCCCAGCATAGAGTGCCGGAGGTGTTCACTGCCTCACAAGTGTTCAGCACTTCTGGAGATCAGGCCCTGCATTGTCACTGCGTGTGTGGTGTCTCCCCCCTCATATTTCCTGGTGGATAATTGCCTCCCCCCTAGCTAGGCGCAGCCTTGGCTCTGAAGCACCCTCGTTGTTCTGAGAGTCGAGGCTAAGTGCAGCCCTCAGCATGCCCAGATCCCAGAGGATTTGGAGGGAGGCTTTTTTCTTATTGAGCTGTGCCACCCTTGCAGGGGAGCTTATCTTCCCCATGAGAAAGAGAAAAAAAAACCCCTTAGCAAAGGGAAATGGAAATGATTTATAACCTGAGGCACAGCCAGCACAAGGAAATGCCTCCCCACTCATCTTGGGCATAGCTGAATCTCTGAGCAGCTTGGGCGCAGCTTTTGGTTTTGCAGTGTTTCTTTGTGCCCAAGCAGGAGCCTGTTGTCTGTTCCTATTCCCAGTGTCAGGAAAGCAGGGCATGCTTACAAAGCAAGGATGCTCTGTGGCTGTGGTCTCCACCCCAGAAGAGTATTACATGCTATGTTATATGGGAAGGGACTATGTTATATGGGACGTTCACATTCTGCACTCCTGCAAGATATGGTGTTTAAAAAAAAGATAAAATCAATGCTATATTATTTTAATTGTTTTTAAAATGGATGGACTGTAAAGCTGCACAGATCAAAGTGCATGTAACCCCTTGAAAAGAAGCCGAAAGGGGAGGTGACATGTCCCATCATTGAGGAATATAGATTTTGAAATTTTTGTGTCTAATTTGTTGGAAATTATATGCCAATATCTAAGTTTGGCAGACTTCTGACCTTTCAGTATTGATGAAGGCTGTGGACAGGTCCAACATACAGTGGGGTAATGGAAATATAAGCAATGGCTTCCAGGGTAGAGGCCAGAAGCATGGAAGTTGTGGTCATTCTTCCAGGAACGATGTGCAGGCTTGATTGACCAGAAATGTCTCTGAGAAAGTGAGAGACCCAAAGAGGTCAATTCCCTCTCTTCAATGGCTCTGGCTATTTTCTTTAAATTAAAAAGAAAAATGGGACACTCTAGTCCTTTGTGTAATTTTATAGCCTAAGGAATATTTCCTAGGCTTACTCTGCTGTATGCACTATAAAGCACGATGGGGTATTTAGCTCCTGAATTCTCATTTGGGTGTTTTTGTCTCCTGTTCACATTCATTTACTGTACAATATCAAGTTATATATGTTATGTGGTTTAGGCTTTTTTTTTTAATTGTGGATTTTATATAAATAAATCATGGAATCTTAATCTCAATGTTTGCTAGCACCATAGGCATATGCAATATTATACAGAAATATTTTCTCCCTTCTCTCACTCTTCTTTTCTTGTCTCCCTCCTTCCTTCCTGCCTCTCCCAGGCAGTTACAATTTTCTTCTCCTCCCCAACCCTCCCCTCCCCTCCCCTCCCCTCCCTTTCCCTCCCATTCCCTCCCCTCCCCTCCCCTCCTCTCCCCTCCCCTTCC